CCCCAAAACCCCAAAACCCCAAAACCCCAAAACCCCATAAAATTATTCATATTGAAAAATTATACAATTAACTATAAATAGGAACTCAATATGACTGAAGCAAAGAGGTAAAACTTAGCTTAAACTATGGTTCTAAGGCAGAATTACGATTAGAAAAGAGCTAGCCTGACCAGCTGTAACTCCTAAAGTCAGATTCAGGTCCCTATCTACCCTGTTAACTCTTTTTGAAACTGCTCTATACTGGATGATAACCTATTACTTTAGCTTGAGAAGCCCAATGGTTAAGAGGAGGATAGCGTTCTCTTCAAACAGAAGATTGGATACTATTTCGGCATTTATTTCACCATCAAGCATGAACTCGACATATTATGGAAGTAGTAATGCGATTTTACATGATGAAGGTATTGCTAAATTATTCAAAAGCTTTTGTATTGATACTGGCTTCTAAACCTTGTGAAAGCTCACCTTATCAAAAGCTCTCTCATAAGCTCTCTTTGTATTGGGTTTTCTCCCTGGTCATTAATAGTCCTACCCAGAATCTAATGTATCTATAGGCACACTATATTCTTCTAATAGCAAAGAGTCTCTTTCAAAGATTGAGAAGACTCTTAGAGGTCAGAAGAACAACTTACCGTTCAGTGATGGCATGTTCACCAGCTTCAACGGGTAAGATTCTTCATGTAGCTTCTGTTTTGACTGAAGTGAAATAATTTACTCAGATTCTAACACCATATTTTTAAACTATACAGTTTGGCAGTTTACAACCACTCGTAGGGATTTTACACACAACTAAAGATTTAAACTTCGAATCCTGTGATTCCTATGGAGCGACTGTTAAAAGAAGTTCATGGTTGGATCTCTTCATATTTTCATTCGTCTGTATTATAGTTCAATAATTCTGATTCTAATAAATATAGTGAGAAGACCGGTAGTGGACTATGGAAAGAGCTCCTCAACTTCACACAGGGCAGGAGTAAAACATACGCCATCCCGAACTACATAATTTCCAAATAAGTGCAAGGATGAGATTAGAGTGCTTATAAAATCCTTTCAGGTTTCGACTGATTTGATATTACAGGACTATGAGGTGTTTCGAAGGTAAATTTTCTGTCATTTCTTATTTTTAAACCATATCATATGCATATCTTTGAAACATGGTTAACCTTGTTATAGGTATATCTATGAAAAATAAGATCAATCCAATGGCCAACAGATCTTCAGGTAAAATCGAAGAGGATGAGACATACCAGATGTTCATTAAACTTGCCAACAGTGTTGACTTCTACTGCCAGATGAAGGATGAATTCCACTGAAAGTTAGACATGAAATCTCCGACCAAACAGTGGCAGAATACTATAATTCCAGGAGAAATGCTACATAAAATTAAGGAGAAATGTAAGAGCAAGAAGAAGGCCATCTCCAACCTCGACAAAAACAGTAAACAGTAGTCGTTATAAAGGTATAGAAACACTGACTGAGAAAGCCCAAGATAAAACTGTGAGGAGTTACGTGTCTTGCATAAAGGAAAAAACCAAGAAGAGAGGCCTTAGCGCTTTTGATATCAGGATTCATACAGACCAAAAGGAGAAAGCAATGTCTAATAAATCAAAGTTTGTTCTTGATGAATGACCCTCATAGATTACAGAAGAAACCAAAGTTCAGAATGTCTACAGTGGTCAAAGATTTCATGCAGTCTGAAACGTATAAATTACTGATAGAGAAAAGAAAGAATATCAATGAAGGTAACAAAAGTAAGGAAGATATCAACGGGGATGAAAATAAGGAAGAAGAAAATGATGCTTCTAAAGAGACTGAAAACTCTCATGATAAAACTCCTGACCCTGGAATATCCCATGAGAAGCGCAGAGGCATTTTGTTTAGGTCCAGTACTCTACAACAAAAGCAAGAACATCCTGCAAACGTGACACCTCCTCCGAGAGCTTATCAAATGCTAGGGCTTGATGTCTTCCGCAAAAACTATATGGATCCAATGAGTTTGTATGCATTTCGAGTAAATTTTTATATAGAAATCTGGAGTCAAAATCTTCTTCAGCTTCAGTCAGCTCAACAGACAGCCCAAAGACTAAAAGGTCAAGGAACAAAGAGGAACGCAAGAAAAGGTATTTCTCCTAAAATTACCATCTAGAGTGTTCTCCAACACCAAAGTTGAGAAGCAGCAGATCAACTTTTTCGTTCATAAGGCTCCAAGGCTAACATTGCTTGAGAAGAAGAAAATTATGCAGAAGAGGAAAACTAATAACTTAGGTAAAGCTTTTGTATTTCATAGCTTATGTTGTAGCTCCACTAAACGCTAGATTTACGCTCAAGTTCAACGCTCAGAAGAAATTTCCTAGCAGAAGGGATACTTGTAAGTCGAGGATTTTCAACGTAAAATTCTTAAATTTTGTTAATAATTTTACTTTATAGTCACAGAAAAACCGCCTATATCACAAGATATTGTTAGAAAGCTGAACAAGACTAGGTAGGAATTCACTCTCCCAGGTTTTATCCTTTTAGGATCTCAAAACTTAGAACATCAAGGATGGTGATTGCTCAAAATGAAACAAATAAAATGAAAGGGAGGAACACATTTATATCTCCAGTTAGGCAGTCGAAGCTGCCAACCAATATCAGTATCCCATTAGAAACAATTGTGGAGAATAAGACTCCAAAGAACATTGGCATGAAGAGCATAATCTCTCCTATAAGGATACCGAATAAGTCTAAACAGAAGGGACAGCCTAGTCCTGTTCTTGGGAAATTAAGGTTTGTTCCCAAAAGGCCTAGGAGACATCTTTCAAATAACCCTACTTTACGTAATCTTTTCTAAGAACTATCTTACTAAAAATTGAACTTTCATTTGACTGTTTTTGAAAATTAGACTAATTGCAGCTGCATACAAACACTCTGAGACATAGTCTTGACAGGCTGGACGGAAGATTTCCGATTATTTTAGCGCTTAATAATTCCAACCAACGTGTATAACTTATTTTAAACCTAGATGCATGTCCAAAGATGTGAAATATGGTTAGATTTTCACCTAAATCTCCCCATCAGCTTATCAACCCATCTCCGATTTTTTACGCTATCCCCTCCCTAATCCACCCTCATATCCAAATTTCTGGATTACTGATCCCTTCCTCCTTCTAAACCCTCAAAATTAATATTCAATAACAACATTCCCAATTGGGGTTTTGGGGTTTTGGGGTTTTGGGGTTTTGGGGTTTTGGGG